TACACACATATATACATGTATATATACACATACACACATATATACATATATAGAGAGTAAAGACCTAATCATTTCTTCATAACACCTACAAGCATTCTGATACTGAAGAATAAAAATAAAAATAAAAACACAGGGCTGAATGAGTTGGTGTAGAATACAGTAATTTTCCTCAGGCTCAACATGTGTTCAACACCCACCTTCAGTAGGTGTTTTTGTTACCCAGAGGCTTGTTGGCAGCAAACCGCTCACCAACATCAGTTCCTTGCTTTGGCGTTAAGTAATATTAGCCATATTTCTGAAAATCCAAACTTAACCAAAAAAAGCGACATTTTCTGTTAGGCTGAATTCTGATTGTATGAGACTTTACTGGAGACTTTACTGGAATGTGGTTTAATCACCGCTTGAATTTCATGGTCAATTAAAGGTCCTTTCAAAACATCATTTTACATTCTGCTTCCTCTTGCTGTTTCCATAACAACCATGGAGGCATGGAAGAATGTGCGCTGTAACCTTCACGACTTAATACCTACAATGAAGCGCAACAGCTGCATACATGCACATACAAATATGCATCTGTCAGCCACAGTGAAACACACACCCGTACCCTGCTGTAAAACACTGTCAAATAACAAACACACAGATGTCTGCTCTAAAACACTGCATGGTAGTGAAGTGGGCAGAAAAAAAAGACACTGTGATGTGGAACACAGCTTTAATCCAGATTATTTTCCATATTTCTGGTTCATAATCAGCCATCTTGATAAACTCAAAGATGTTCCATGAGATATTAATGCATTAATTAATTACCCCCAACCTAAAGAGTCTACTTATCCACTCAAAACAAAACTGAGTTTTCCATCTTGACAACTGCTGATTATCTTCAGAGTTGACACTTCAGTAGGAATTGAAGCAAAAACCGGTAACTCTCCAATTTAAGCCAGATTTACAAAATAATTATGAGCAAAATTAAAGCTTTTGGTAATTTTTTATTTATTTTTTTACCTCTTGTTAAAACTGCAACAAAAAAAACTGTTCATTTGTGTGTAGCATTTTGCAAAATATTTCATGAATCAGCGATGGATCTCAATGAAAGTCACATTAAAAGTAATCATTAGATGTATGTCTGCAGCTCATTAACTTTAGAATGAACCCTATTTATGATGGCCGTCAGAGCTAAGCCACTTTAGCAAACACCAAAATGGCTATAAGTCAGTCAACTTTACATATGTTGAGCTAAACTTTGGTGTGGTGGTCCATGTGTGATACACAAGAACCAGACAAAACGACTGATTATAAAAATATACAATCTAAAACTTCCAGCTATTTCTCTGAAAACTAACGTATAAAAGCATACACGCATACAAAAGTACACTTTTGCTGTGCTGACAGTGTCTGGCTCCCACTGGGTTAATGCACGAGAACATGCCTAAACACACACAAAAAGACAATTACACACATCTGTGAGCCATTAGGTCTAATCACATGGTGCAGCAGAGGCAGAATAAAAGAGACCAAATATTGGAATGTAGTCAGGACTGAAAGCTCCATGCAGAGCTCACAGCCACACTCATCCTAATAAGAATAATCATAAAGAAAAACCTTCTCCAACAAAGCCTTATTGTCTGAGGGTCTGTACGACGCAGAGAGCTGCACCTTATTGAACCGTGTAGAACAATAGAGCCAGCCTTGTCAAACCATTTTTGTTCATTTATTTCTCTCTTGTTACACACCTTCCTCCACGTGTTGAGCAATGAAATAGATTAATAGGAATTAGTCTGTGTCAGAACTAAAAATAAGCCCAGTGGTATCACAAACAGGAAAAATGAGAGCAGGTGAAAGAGATGCTCTGAAATGGAGGGGTCGTCTTTGATGGCACCATATTTCACAGGTGTCCTTATGCCTAACTGCACTAATAAAGTGTTCGGATGTGAAACTGTGCTAGGTCAGCGTGGTTATGGCTTTTATCCTTTTTGACAAATAAGTCACTCAGGTATCACTTTTTCCCTAACATAAATGAGAGGAAACATTGCAGCTTACAAATTGACTTTTTAATGGGCAATCCAACAGAAATTAAAATATCTGCTACTGGTGGTTTAAAGCAAAAACCACAGTAGATTTTTAGGAGTTAAGTGCAGTGACTCTACTACATCTTTGTTTTGGCAGTAAAAGACTTATTCAGTCTCAGACAGCTGGTTGTAGTGTTATGACAGATCTAAGTGTGTGCATCTGTTTGTTTATTTATGAGCCTGATAAATGTGTCCATCTTTGTTGGTGTCCCATCTTAAAGATGATTCACCAGCAAGCAGCAGTTGCGTCAAAAGACTGGTTGAACTCGTCTCTTAATAATATCTAGGCTGTGAAAAAACGCAGCTCTTCAGAGCTGTCTTTTTTACACAGATCAGTATGACAATAGTTTTTTCCACAGTCCTCTTTATGAACTAGAGCTTATTTAGACAGGCATTTTTGCATTTTTTACAAGTTCAGTATACAACCTTAGGACACCACGGCTAAAAATACACAAAAAACAGACAAACCAAAACGTACAAACCCTGAGAACCAGAATTTTCTACTGCAAAAAAAAGTTGACTATAGTTAAATATCACCCATTTTTGCTGAGTTTTTAACTTAGCATAAATATGTATATATTTACAAGAAAAACATGTGCAATTACAGCAACAGAAGTTTGCTTCTGTTCTAAGATTTGAAATATGATGTATTGTAAATTTTATTTAAGAGATTTTTATGTTAGTGGTTTTTATTTTATCAGTAGGTATTTATCGACAGGACCATAGCACTCAACATTACAATAGAGAATAGATAAACTGTTAAATATCAAATAACACAAGTCCCTATAATGACAGTGACAACTCTCAGCACAATCATATTCCCCTGCCTCACAGAAAACTGCTCCTGAACACCTCAAAGGACACAACAAGGAGCCAAATAGTTGACTCCATGCTTTCCCAGTTTTTATTTGACCAAGGGTCCTACCACAAAGGCACAATCATCAGAACGCAAAGGATCTACTTCTGAATTTTAGTGCTCATTTACCAAAAGCGTGGAGTATTTTCAGTACTGCAAGACGGACATAGTCAGTATTATGGAAGAACAGTATTCCCTCGTTTATCGCGGGGGATCCGTACCCTGAAGACCTGCAATAAGTGAAAAACCGCAAAGTAGGAATATTAGTACAAGTACCGTAGTAAGTAGTAATTTATTTTTATTATATATATATATATATATATATATATATATATATATAAATAAAGGCGTTTCAAACCCCACACTCTTGCAATATTTTTTTTTAAAAATTCTAAAGTCTAAACGCTCTAAAAGAGCACAGAATGCCATGATTTCAGCTCCCTGCCTCCTCTGCTCTTTGCCACCTGCAAGCGCTCTTGGCCACGCCCACTTCTCCGCTCTGCACAGTGAACAGCTGATCAGCTGCAGCAGGAAGTTTATTCTGCAGTGCAGGAAGTGCTAAATAATATAAAATAATTTATTTTAAATAAAAAATAATGCCGATCGTGCGGCTCATCCATCAATCAGCCAATTGTGTGTCATGTCCAATCTTATCTTGCCTATTGATATAACCAAAAGTAAAACTATGAAACTGCAAAGCCATCTAGTAAAACAAAATAATAAAGGTTTACACAGGTATTTAAAAAAAACAACTCCTCTTTAACATTTTTCCTGTTAAGGACTATTAAAAACCTTTCTCTATAGTTAAACATACAATGAGTTTCCAGGAAGTCATTAAATGCAGTTTTTGATTAAATTTCTGTTTTTGTGTGTTGTTTCAAACAGCTGTCAAACATGTAGCAAGTGCAAGTGTGTGCTTGTGGCCATACCTGGTGTAAATGCCATCCAGTATGCCCACACAGGCCTCAGAGGCCGGGACATACGAGCCCACCTGAGCCATAATACATATAAGGGCAACCTGGCGGATGTAGGAGCTCTTGCCCCCCATATTTGGCCCAGTGATTATCATAGTTCTCCTGCCTTCGCTCTAAACAAACAGAAAAGAGAAGAGAAAACTCTGAACTGTGACTAGAATGAGATATTTGCTTGTTTGCATGCACAGCTTAGGAGGTGGGTGGACTGAAAGCTTGGCTTCTCTTCCTACTGGCTTGTGCTTCTGTTGCAAGATTAACCTACACCCACTCAAGCACTAAGCGAGGAAGTGAGTGTGTGTGTGCCACACAAGTCTGTGTGTATATACAGGAGTGTCTCAATGAGTTAGTGAGTAGGCAAATGTCTAAGTCTCTCTGTCTCAAAGCTCTTTAAATGTGTATGTTTGTGTGTGTACCTGTAATTTAGTGTGGTTGGGCACATACTGATTGTGCTCTCCCATCAATAAATCTATCGCAGGATGTCTGCCATCAGTTATCATAATCTGGTGCTTATTTTCACACACCTTTGGCCTAAATGCAGAGAACCAACAGTTAGATTTACAAATGCATATTAAAACACATTCACACACAAAAGCTTTGTTTTTCTAATTTCAATTCGATGTGGACAAGGTTGGGAGCAGAAAGGGCCACAAAATTGTTGTGTGTGTTTGTAATATGGGTGGATATACTATAAAGATGGCACACTTATTCAAAGTGACAGTGGATGAAAGTGAATAGGCGAGTGGTGGCGCAGAGGTTAGAGAGGTGGGCCTGTGATCCGAAGATCGCCTGTTCACGCCCCGGCCCCGACAACATCAAAATAGTGGGTGGGGTCGGTGAAGCACCCACACTTGCCCCCATCCTCATTCGCCCCACTCTGGGCCCATGAACAAGGCCCTTAACCCCCACCATGTGCTCCCTAAACAGGTCTCTCTTGAAAATGAGTTCTCGTGGCTCAATGAGACTACCTGTATAAATAAAGGGTAAATGAATGTCAATATAATATGGTGAACTTATGCTTTTTTGTTTCAATTTGAAATTAGAAAAAAAAAAGAAATCAAACACCTTCAAATATAGATAATAGATTAAAAATCCACTTCAGTGGAATAGGTTATTTTCCTTTTAAATCTCTTGCCAAACTCGTAGCTATCAGGCTCTTCAAATATTGACAAACTCACATAAATATAAAAGAATACAAAGGTTTTAAATTTTGTCATCTAATATAAGAAAAAGTATTTTGAGGATTTTGTGTTAAAAAAAATACATGTAAAAATTAGGCCTGTCACGATAATAAATTTTTCTGGGCGATTAACTGTCTCAGAAATTATTGCAATAAACGATAATATTGTTTGAAATTTGACAATAATTATTAATTATTGTCAAATTTAAGAAGAATGTTGGTTAATTTGTTTTGTGTGTAGTACCTTTGTTGACCACCGGATGGCAGTATAAGACTGTTTGAACCGAAGGATGGATAGTGAGGGAGCAAGCAGAGTGCCTCTTTAAGAAAATAGAAGGGAGGCCCCTTGACGTGACATGGGCTGTCTCCTTCCTTTTTTTTGGTTCTCAAAATGGCGGACGCTTGGTGTGGTTTGAGTTCTTTAGCATAGCATTTTTCACACAAAGCTTTTAATAAAAAAAATTTAAAAAATCAGTAAATAAGTTCTTAGCTTCTTTTTGCAGAGAAAAACAACTTTTTAGACAAAGACACAGGTTTCAGACGTGAATTTTGGAGCTTTGACAAGACAGAGGGTTTTTTTTCCCCAAGGTCAGCCTGTTAGCTCAGCTCGTAGCTTAGTTTCTCAGCTTAGATAGTTTTAACGATCCAAAAACGCGATTTTGTACGGTTAAAATGGATTTTAAAGAGAAAAGAGAAAGGGAGGAGTCAGTGAAGAGCACCTGAGTTGAGCCTTTTGTCATCCAGTGTCTTCAGTAGAAAGAGAGACACGAAGAAACGATAGAAAGTCGTTAAATGAAAATGAGGTTGATAATTTTCATTTATTGTGTGATTAATTGATTTATTGTTTATCGCAACAGGCCTAGTAAAAATGACAACAAAATGTCAATATAATGGTTTATTTGCGCATCAACTTGTTTTTTAATTGCTTTTGCATAAAAGAGGGTTTCAAGAGTTGGTGTCTTGAACATTGTCCTTATTACTTTTCCACCCTGCTCCTTTTGTTTTAACCCAGTATTAGTTGAAAACTAACAGGTTCGCAGACGCATCCTTCCTTTTCAATATATCAAATAACTAAAGGTCAGACTTTTCTTTGAAGATGTTGCCTTTTCTTGTTAAAGAATAAATGTGATAAACTTAAAGTGAACTGAAGTTGAAAAGAAGTTGCCTCAAACAAAAACGCTTACTGTGGTACAATGTGAATTGAAGAAGAACTGACATTTAATGTGTAGAAATGGAGATTAAAAAGGTGTGTGTGTGTGCGTGCGTGCATGCATGCGTGCGCGTAGGAGAGATGTTGGCGTTCTGGCAGCACATGCTTCTGAGCCCGGTGCACACACCCACACACAGCCTGTCGTGGTCTATAGGACACGACACAGGACGACCCCCACTTACACACACACACACACACACACACACACACACACACAATCCCACACACATAATATACACCCATCAATATTTATGGTCTGCATGAGAGCATATCACCTGCAATAGTCCCCATGTTTAGCCACCTCAGCCAATGAAAAGAGGCAGTCCATGGTTGCTAGGTGACTAATAGCCATTTTCATGGTGTGGTAGTGCTCCCCAAACTGACTACAGAGAGAGAGGAAACAGAGGAAACAAGTGCAAATTAAGGGATGGGCGTACAGGTTTGTGAGTAGACAGCCCTGGTAGGGTACTTGACAAAAACAGACTAGTTCTGGCAGGCTGAGAGTGGTGAAGTCATACCCCCGAACCTCGGAGTTGTTGTGTTTTTAACAGCTTTTCATTTGAATATGTGATCAGGTGTGTGTGCAGTTGCTTCTGTCATACTCCAGAAAATTGGTCCACTCCCTCTGGCAGTCGAGTAGCAGCTGCTCTCGGAGCTGCTGCAGCTTCTTGTAGCAGTCAACCAGGAAAGGAGAGTGAAACCTGCTGACTGTCTTCGTACTGCAGAGGGGAAAGAAAAGGAGGACAGAATAGATTTATGGTAACATCAATAATGAAAAGTGGTGAGTGTTTGGAAGCTAGTAAAACAAGTCAGGGAAATCATTGTTAAAAAATATTAAATCAGTTCAATTCAGTGTATTTATATAGCGCAAAGTCACAACAGAAGTCACCTCAGGGCACTGAACAGAAACATTCACATACATAAAAAAGCCAATTAGTAAAAGTTAACTATCTCAGGACGCCAACAGACTGTGTTGAATCTTCACTTCGTCACAGTCTCCCATCCTGAGCAAGCACAAAGGCAACAGTGGAAAGGAAAAACTCCTTTTTAACAAGAAGCAGCATCCAGCAGAACCAGGCTCAGGTCGAGCGGCCATCTGCTCTGACCGGCTGGGTTTGAGAGGACAGGAAGGAGAAACAAACAAACACAGAATGGCAGGTCCAGGTGTACTTTCTATAAGAGGAAAGACAAAAAAAATGTTAAGAATAGAAATAATTACAAATACAAACAGGTAGAGTAAAGCAAGTAAAGACAGCAGCAGAGTGAGAAAATGCGGTCAGTTTGTCCTCCAGCAGTCTAAGCCTAAAGAGGTATAACTAAGGGATAGCTCAGGAAACCCAAGCCAACCCCAACTGAAGGATTTATCAAAAAGGAAAGGCTTAACTAATCTTAAAACTGGACGATGTGTCAGTCTCATGGACAGAAACTGGAAGTTGGTTCCACAAGAGAGGAGTCTGACAACTGAAAGATCTTTCTCCCATTCTGCTTTTGGAAACTCTAGGAACCACAAGTAAGCCTGCAGTCTGAGAGCAAAGTGCTCTGTTAGGAAAATATGGAACAATAAGATCTGGAATATAAGATGGAGCTAGGTTGTTGATGGCTTTGTAGGTTAAAAGTAAGATTTTGAATTCTATGCTGAATTTGAGAGGGAGCCAATGAAGAGAAGCTAAAACTGGAGAGATATGATCTCTCCTACTAACTCCAGTTAAGACTCTGGCAGCAGCATTTTGGATCAACTGAAGACTTTTTTAATAATTTTTTGGAGCCCCAGATAATAAACCATTGCAATAGTCCAGTTTAGATGTGACAAATGCATGAACCAGTTTTTCTGCATCATTTTTGGACAAGTTGTTGTTTGTGTTTTTTTTTTTTTTGTTTTTTTGTGATGGCCTCCCTTCTCCCCTTACAGCCATCCTCTCCACACCATTATTATGAAATATTTATTATAGTGACTATCTAGTGTAGGTTTTTTTTTGTTTGTTTGTTTTTTTTTTTTTTTAATAGGATAGAAAGAAAGAAAAGACAAAGTAAGACTCCAAAATATAAGAAATATACACAAATAGAGCACACGTCAAAACACCCGGCCACTGTCTGTTCACCTGCAAAGAACATGACAAAACACAGCAACAAAATACATATGTATAAAGAACTTAAAATATTCATGGCTTTGCAGTAAGTTTCCATAAATATATATACCCATACCTACGCCTATATACATACATACATACATACACACACATGAATATACACTCACATACATATCTATATATCTACATATAAAGCCTACATAAGCATCCCTGCTTCTATTTGTGTGTGGTTGTGAGCATGCATAAGTGTATAAGGCTTCTCTAATAGAACATTTATTAGTAACTGTGAAGCAGCAGAGACCCGACCCCCAAGACCAGAGGCAGACGAAAAAGGGGGGACCAGAGCCCAAGACCCCAGGAGGGACCCCGACCGCGGAGCCCCCAGAGCCACCCACACAGGATGAACCACTCACCCACCCTCCAGAACGGACCACAGGGGAGAACCGGAAGATCCCCACCAGCAACCACATACAGTGACCCCCCGGGGCCAACAGCGACAAACTCATAGGCCTCCGTCGGCACCCGCCGCACCGATGTAGGTCCAGGTCCAGGCACCGAGGCCCGGGCACCGAGGACTCACACCACCCAGGCCAAGGCCTGACAGGGCCAGAGGACCCGAGCCCCACCAGGCAGACACCAGGCCGAGCCGACACACGCCCAAGCGCCCAGCCCCCGATAACAAGGGCCCCAAGCGCGCCGGCAGGCAAGGGCACACCCCACCAGGGGGCCGCGCGATAGGGGCGCGATGCCAAGCACCCCCAGTTGTATCAAAGAGTGGACAAGTTGTTTCTAATTTTAGTGATATTACGCAGGTGGAGGAAAGCGGTTCTGGTAACTTTTTTAATATGGGGTTGAAAAACATATCCTGAATAAAAATAACACCAATGTTTTATACATTAGAACTGGAGGCCAAAGTAATGCCATCCATATTAGCAGAGTAAAATTTTAAGGATTGATGTGATTATTGTTTTTTTTTAATATATCAATTTTGTTTCACCTTTAACAAAGCATCATCTATGTGTTTTTGCAAAGTCAATAGCTTTAACTTTAAAGGGTATGACTGGAACAATTTTTTTTTTCCTGTTTTTGTTATTTAAAGTAGGGTAGTGTAGAGTTAAACAGTAAGTGTAAAAACAATTTTAGAGTAGTAAACATGTATGATGTATTTATTTTACATTTGGAGGTCAGAAATTTTAAGTTCCAAGTTAAAAAATCACCTAGAATGTCAAAAGCGCAGACATTCCACTTAATTTCAAATGAACTGGGTTTAACACCTTAAACTAATTTTATTGAATCTGAAAACGTTATGAACAAAACGTCTTGGGCACAGTTACACTCCTGCTGCTATAGAAAAAAAACCTGCAAAGAGAAGCTGATGTCCATGGCTGCGGCAAGAACCCACATTGCTTCTCTACCAGCTGCAGAGGAAAGTTGTTTGTTTGGTTTAATTAGTTTTTAATAAATAAACAATTCTTTATTTGTTTTGAAATACAAAAAAAAATTATTTTGCAGCAGTTTATATGGTGTGAAAATTTTACAAATTGACTTTCTTTTACAGCTTTGAAACAGAAACCAATCAAAAACGTTGATTTTGTAACACCAATATCTTAGTCAATAAAATGAGAAATTATTAATCTTTCATTAATATTTGAATTATTTATGTTTCAGAGTAAAACACTTTGTCTATTACAGCTTAATGTCATAATCAGTTTTAGAAAATTGGCCCAAAAAATACATAATTTCTTTGGCAATTTAGTGTCTTTGAGTCTTTGAACTATTTTGTAAAAGAAAAAGCTGAAAATGATAACATTCAATAAATGAATGTAAAACCAGCAGACACACAGATCCTGTATCTTTAAATAAAAAAGAAATGTGTGTAGGTTGCAACTGTATGTGAGCTGACCTGCTGATTTTGACCCATTCAGGTGGAACGGCTGACGACATTGAGTTCTTCACCTCAATCAGAAACTGAAGGCAGAGGAAATGAAAAAGTCTCTGATAAATCAGACAAGAGCAGCCGGGCATGTGTCATTTTTAATTAAAACCATCATAAACCATCATTGTTGCTGAGACTTCTATCCAAATGGCCATCAGTTCCCTCCCACCGTTTCTTTCATTCTCACACACAGAGACGCAGGCGGTACCTCCTGTCCAGAAACGGTTGTGTAGTCGAACGCAGGAGCCTTCAGCACCAGTCGGATGTCTTTGCGGTGCTCTTGAATCTCACCGAGGACGGTCTGGATCTGCCTCGTTCTTTCCTTCAGCACCGGGAAGCCGGACAGGTCTGAGAAGAGCTCTGTCTTATTCCCCAACCTGCAGAAACACACACAATAAAATGTGCCAGCTGCTGGTAATAGATCACCCTGCAATCCTATTCATCCTTATTTTCTGAGAAATGAGACCGTTTGTCAGTCTGACCCTTCAGTAATGAAATCAGGGAGGAGGGGGGGGGGGATTACCCGTGTGTCACTTGGACATCTTTCTCTCATGGTTCTTCATGCCAACTGTTAATCGTGTGTGGAGCGACAGCAGGCGTCTAACATCACCCGCTGGGTTACAATTTGCACTTCTCAGCAAATTCATCTGAACTGAGGTGCATTACAAAAGTACAAAGAAACTGGCCAGCATGTTTCTTTAGATTAAAATAAAATTTTAAGGTCAATTGAGCCATTATTTCAAGGTTTATGCCTGTGTTTGATTCAGCGATGGCTAAAGCAGGTCAAATAGATCTGAGAAGGAAGTCATTTTTACAGTATTTATATTTTAACTAAGAAAAAAAAATCTAAATATTAAGATTATCTAATTGTCCAAACATTTTTGCTAGTGACCGATTTTGATTAAAGGATATATAAACATGCTGCTTTTGATAAATATTGCTGCAAAGTCAGAACTTGACCTCTGCAGAATGAATTTTTTTAATTGATTTTCACAAACTACCGTAAATATACTTTTTATTCAGAAACTAAATATACATTTTAGTAAACAGAAAAAAATAATCACAATGAAATTACTTTATTACCGCTGCCTTTTATTTTTAAAAGACAATTATTTTTAAGTAAACATTAATAAATAAATTTAATTCCAAGAAGAATATCACCTCCAAAAAAATCCGTAAGCCTTAACGTTTCTGTAGTTTACCAAAGTTTAGTTTATGCAGCAGTCACTGGTTCAATCATGCAGTTTCTTCTATGTTGCCCCTTCTTTCCCCCTTTTTCTTTAAGACACTCACTTGGCTGCCTTCTCGTTGAGCACCTTGAGGAAGCCGTGAGCCGGAGCCAGCAGGTCAGGAGTCTCCAGTAGGAGGCTACAAAGCAGCGCCGAACTGATCTGTGAGCGGATGGCTGGGAGAAGACTCTGTAGTTCCAGCCCCAGGCGAGAAAGACTGCTACTAACAAGATAAAACTCCTGTGTGGAGGACTAGAATGCACAAAAATAGGTAAAGATAAGTAAATTATCTGAAAATTCTCAAGAGACTGATGAATATCTAGTTCTAATGTGCATCTAAGTTATAAGTAAAAAGGGAATAATAAATATTGTACGAAGAGCTCTTTTAATTCTTTATGACGCGTTTTTGTCTTTGTGTTTTTTGTGTGTGCAGATGGTGCGTTACCATGAGATTGTGTAAAACCGTGAGATTACATCACTGATCTTATCTGCACTAAATGTGACAACGGAGCTTAAGGAGCTCTGACAGCCAAACTCTGAATAACACACCTCATTAACAGCCACACAGGCTGCAAGTCTTCACAATGTGGCATCCAAAAAAAACCCTCTCGTAAAAAGAACCAAAACACTGCTGATTTAAACAAAAACACAAGTGAAATAAGAAAACAGAGAATTTAATATCTACTGTCAGGGTGTTCATTGATCAGGATCAGTGCTGTAATAATTAATAGATAAACCAATGCTCTTGAAATGTCTCTGAAGAGGCTATAGATAGTGATGCTGCTGTGCGATCAAATCAAATCAAATCATAACCCCCAGGTTAATGAGGGTCACGCTACCAGGGGGTGTTTGGCATTACCCCGTAATCATGAGCTGCAGTTTCAGAGCTCTTTCCATGTCTGCAGCCTCCCCATGTTGCTCTTTTATGAAGAACAAACTGCAACTGAAAACGACAAGAACGACCTTCCTGCCGTTTTGTCAATGGAGCCACTGAGACACAGGCCCCCTCACACAGACCCATTTGTCTCAAGATGGGCAACAAGACAATTAAGGTCCCTCCGTGTGTCTGCTGTGTGCCTGTGCTTAATGACATCTGATCATTTTCTTCCAACAGTAAATGAAAGAGACAGAAAGATGAGCACGGAAACGAGACATGAAGCTAGGATTAAAGTGCCCATTCCCTCTGTGTACGAAACGTGCACGCGCGCGCAGGATATAGGCCATGTGACAATCCCTACATAGGTCTGATGGGAAATGAGACCATGTCAGGCTGTTGAATAAATGCCAGCAAGGTATTTGCTCTGTTTGTAATCAGGAAGCGTGTCATAAAAAAGGCAGAGCTGTCGAGGTGAGAAGAAAGAACATTGTGTCAGGGTTCATTTGAAGAAAACAAGAGAAAATGCATTTCCTGCAAAAAAAATGCTTATTGCTCAAGAACTTGCCTGAAAAACAGTTGAAATTAGCTCAAAATGTGCTGAAATGTAGCTGAAACGGAAGTACAAGCCTAAGTTTGTAGAATAAAGCAGAAAGAACACATATTTGCAGAATTTGGTTTAAATAAGCAGAAATTAGCACAAAAATTAGTAAATTTGCTTTAAAAAAGGCAGAAACTTGCTAAGAAAAATAATAGCTGAAAAGGCAGAAAGAAGCTTAAATTACCAGAAGGAACAGTTGTGCCAAATTAGGCTTAAATAACCAGAAATGAGCACAAAGTGGAAATTATATGAAAAAAGCTGAAATTAGCAAAGAAAAATAATAGCTGAATAGCAGCTAAAAAACAGGAAGAAGCTTAAATTACCAGAAGGAAGTGGAGAGAGCACATTTTTGGTGAATTAGGCTGAAAAAAGTTTAAGTGAGTGCAAAAAAATGTGGAATTAGCTGAAAAAGCTAAAATTTGCATAAAACCCACTAAATAGTAGCTGAAATAGCAGAAAAAGCTGAAACTTGCAGAAAAAAGCTGAAAGGGGTATAACAAGATAAAATTAGCAGAAAGAAGTTAGAAGCACAAAAATGTTGTAGTTGTCAGGATAAAGCAGAAACGAGCACAAAACAGCTGAAAAAAAAAACCTGCTGAAAGTAGCTGAATTTTTTGTAAATTTGCAGAAGGAAACTGAAAGAAGCTGAACCGGAACAAAATGTGAAAGGAGCAGTAAAAGGTTGTAAACAGCTTTAAAGATATGAAGGATGTCAAATGAGTTCAATTCATATTTTATGAAAAAAAAAAATGGCAGAAAAGGCTAAATATTTCAAAAAGCTAAAGTTGCGCCAATACCAAAAGTCATAGCATCATTCTCCTAAACGAGCTGAACGTTTTGATATACGAATTGTTGAAACAGCACAAAATTGTGGAATGAGAAAGATGCCGAAAAACGTACAGAAGAAATAAAGAACTCAGAATAAAAAATATAAACAGGATAACAATAGTGTGAATGCTTAATAAGCATTCACACAACTAACAGAGTTTTGCTGTTTACAGCTTTTTTTTCCCAGCAGAACTACCATAGTGAGTGCTACATCGAACAGGAAGGTTTACAAATCCAAAACATATTTCAGTAATTACATATGGGACAACAGCTGGATGTGTGTTCGGTCACCTTCTTGTGATATATGCTGCAGATGCCTCTCTCCAGGTCGGGCAGGTGTAACAGTAGAGTTCTTATGGAGCTTAACGTTGACGAGTCTGACTTCATGATTTCCTGCACAGCATCCTGCCTCTCGCAGATAGACCTGAAGAAGTGGAGGAAATAAGAAAACAGGATGGAGAGCAATGAATGAAGCCAATCAGTGTTCTGTTCCCATAAAGGGCAAAAGAAATGTGTTCTTAGAAAAGCTGAATCAGCCTTGATTGAAATGATTACCACTAATTAGATTCTTTATGAAGTCTTGTAGAACTGGTTGCAGTGACAATGCACTGAAGAAGGATTTAACCATTTCCTGATCTATTTTCCAGTTTTTGTGACTTTTAGGCAATTTTCACACATGAACACCTGAGAAAGACCAGACAGATATCTTGCAGACTTGGCCTGCAGTTTCACACTTGAAGTAGACAGCAGGACAATCTCAGAGACGAACTGGAAACAGTCAGGTGTGGCAGCTCTTAAAAAGCATGATCAAATGTGACTATGTGGACATTTGTTTCACTTTTAGGACAGCACACGAGGTCACAGTTTAACTACAATATCAACAATTGTTGTGGTATTTATAATAGGTATACATATTCATAATATAATAAGTGCTATGTGTTGTCATCATTGTATATTCCCATACAATGGCAAAATTAGTTTGCTGCATTTAACCCATCGCACCTGGGCTACACCCAGGTGGAGCGGTGGGCAGCTATGCAAGCACCCGGGGAGCAATTAGGGATTAGGTGTCTTGTTCAGAGACACCACAAACCCATATAAACCCCATATCAGCCCCATATAAACATGTAGACCGTAAAGAAACACACAAGTAGGCAGAGGAGAAAATGAAACTAATTGTTGTAAACTCTCCAAACAAAGTTTTGCTTTTGAATTTCTCCTGCACAGTTTGCCAGGTAGTTAGCAAGACAAACGTTACAGGAGACAAAAAAGTCCATGCTCAATAATCCAGGTTTGCAGGAGACACTTCTGCAGTCCCTCCAGAAATTACAGAGAAAATTACAGTTCACTGCCAAAGCAAAGTGTCTCACAATGAACTGACTAGATTTCAATTTGGCAGTGAAACACAAAAAAAACGCCCAGAAAAAACAAAAAAGAACATTTTTAGTGCCCGAAACGACAATAGTTCTGCAAAGATAAGCATCTAAATCACAAAACTTCCCTGTTTTTAACCCAGTTTCTTAATGTGTTGCATCACAATTTGTAAAAGAAAAGAAAGGTGATTTAAAATATATATTTCTAGAATAATATCTGCAATAATAATGGCATCAACAAATTGGTCATGCAGTAGAAAATAAAAGCTGTAACATTTGTAGATAATAGTAATGGTGTCTAAAAAAGAACAATAACAATAATAATAATAAAGATGATGATAATAATGATAATAATAACAATAATAATGTAATGTTCCATCACAATTCCATGTAGGCATAGAGCTGTGATAAACCGTCCACAGAGACTAAAAGAGAATAGGTACTTTAATGTCCCATAGTGAAAGTATTTATGTGTGAACACATTCTCATAAAAATAAAACATTGAAAATGTATTATCATCATACAAACACAGTAAAGGCAGGAGAAATGATAAACACAGAGGTATTTTTCAGACAAGACACCTACCTGTTCTGGTCCAGGCAATCATGCTGTAAATACACGCTTTGGTGGTAAATATCTCACTCCTCAGAATATTTAAACAACAAAACTTAGTCAACTTTATGATTTTAAAAAATTGTGTTAAGATAAAGTTGTGTATAGTTTTAGTCCAGCAGAGTGTTGGCAATTGAGTTTATTTCACCTACAACCAGATGTTACTGGACAACCTAATATACAGTAAAAAAAAAAAAAAAAAAAAAAAACTCTTTTTAAATCTGTTTAATAATTATTATTAAATTATTCAAGTTACCTTGTTTACATGATAGAGCTCATTCTGAAAATTAAAATAGTTCAGTAAAATATTCTCAGAAATATGATCTTGGTTTGGTTAAGCCAGGTATTTTATTTATTTATTTATTTTTATTGTGGGGGTTTTGGGGGGAGGGGCATATTTCCTATTTGACATCATCTGTGGCTCTGTATGAGAGCTGGGTATTGCGAATATAATGATGTTTAATTAATCAAAACTGTGTTATAGTATATTTCAAGCTAGGGTCAGGTAAAATATTAAACAAGCTCCTCAGAATCATAAAAATGTTGGAAAAGGTTTGAAAAGATCATTTAAAAATTGACAAATCTCTAATTTTACATGTTCTGTCCAATTAAATAATAATTTAAAGAAACACAGATTACAAAATATTTCACTCTGCATAACCATCCAGAAAAAAATGATCAAAGAGGCACATTAGGACAAATGTAGTGACGCGATAACCTCACCGTCGCACTCAGACTAAGTCATGAATGTATGTGTTGTGCAGATGTGTGTCCTTGTGTAAGAGCATCTGTGTCATCTGCTGATGACAGTGTGTCTAGGAATTATTCTGTCTGGCTGTAATCGGGATTTGATTCATGTTTAGAGCAGAGATGCTATCTGTGTAATCTGAAAAACAGAGCCAAATCCACAATTCTAATCCCTGCACAGCAAAGAAAAAAAAAAGCCCACACTCACACAGAAATGACTCAGAATGCTGCTGTAAGGAAAATAAAATTCACACTATGATGAGTACAGTCATAAATGTATAAAAAATGTTTTATAGAAGAAGTGATGTGTGACCTTTTTATTTGTATTTACAAAAGTCATTTTCCAAGTAGAGTATTTATTTCACTGCTTCTCTGCAATAAAAAGTAAGTTGTCACATGTTGAGTTCTGTAATACCTCTTCCCTAACAATATGGAGTACCAGTAATATTTACTGGATATTGGAAAATTATATTTTAGTCACGTTTTGTTTCATTTTAGTTTATGGAACTTGTTTATGCATGTCACAAAACAGACACAGACATTGACCACAAAAAAGAAAAAAAAAAAAATAATAATTTATAATTTTACTGTCTTGACATTTTATTTGACTGTTTATGTCATTTATTAATAATGCAGTAATGTCACCAAAAAACAGACCAGTCAGTTAGTGTCCTCAGCATCAGGCCTCTTAGCCTATGAACTTATGTGTAAATTATTATTATTATATTTTATATTATACAACTTATTGTTAAATTATTCCATGACCGGTTATACTGGTTTTGTGAGGGCAGCTGCTGTGGTTGTTATTACCATCAAGCTGCTAACAGGACCTGCTAACAAGACCTGCTAACGCAGCTAACAAGAGATTCTCCACCTGCCTGCATGGACCGAACTCTACAGTAGGCCCGTCACGATAACAAATTCGGTTCTGGAAGGCAGTTTGTGAGGGCAGCTGCTGCGGTCGTTATTACCATCAAGCTGCTAGCAGGACCTGCTAACAAGACCATGCCACTAACAGAACAGAACCATGCTGCTGAAAGAACCTCACTGCTAACCGAACCACACTGTAGATGTATTTCTTTTTCACTTTTGGCACCTTGTTTTAAGTACTTTTGCTGCATGTTTTGGCATTTCTTCTTGTTGTTTTTTTTTGGCGAGTCGAGACGGTTCTTCTCGTCCTCAGCATTTCATGGCATTATTGACCTTGTGTTGATTTTTGCATATATGAAAGATAAATAGACAGAGCAGAGCTTGTTCATTTGGTTTACGTCAGTTTTAAAAAGAGATGAGATATAAACCATAAATGTACAAGTATTTCTAAACTAAATCTTAGCAAAACATAGAAAACATATATATTTTTAGAGTAGCTGGAGATTATACCTTCATATCATTTATAGTATCGTAGATATTCGGTATAAGAGCTTGACAATAACACTTTGAATAAAGTGCTTTAAATTTAAATAAAATTTACACCAGCCACTGTGTACTTTAGCAAGTCGTGTGATCTAAAATTATCTCCATGACTAGTGTGCAATCGCACAACTATGTAGTGTCAGGAACACTTGTAAAACAACATAAACATGGGAATGTTTCCATTCTCTGTCCATATGGTGTAAAATCAGCTCAAGTGCTGACTGAATCAGAGCAAGGAAATCTCTTCGATCTGGTCCAAAAGGTCCTCAAAGAGCAGAAAACTAGTATTCAGAGTTAAACCCTGAGTATCGCTGAGAAAATAAGGCACAGGGAGAATGAAACTGAACCAGCTGAGGACTCACTGCAGGTCTGTGAGGGGTCGGCTGACCCACTTCCTCATCAGTCTCCTTCCAAATGGCGTGCGAGCGTGGTCCAACACCCACAGCAGACTCCCCTTCACACTTCCATCAGTCTTTGATGGAGAGAACAGAAACATAACAGTTCACATGTGACAAATGATTTTAAAGCTCTGAGAGAGACTCTAAAGTAAAACTGAACATTTTACTGAGATCAGAGAAAAGGCACTTAACTTGGTTAGTAAATTCAGCAATTAAACTTGAATTTCTTCATCTACCTGGTGAACTGCATGACATTTCTACCTGGACAGATGCCATTTTTTTCTTCTAACAGTGACAAAAGTGAAAACTCTGGTACCTCAGGTGTGTGAGTCTACTCCATCAGGTTTTCCTATTAAAATGAATTGACACTTTCCAGTAGCTGATATGCACATGCACCCAATACTTAAACAAAAATTAAACCTTCAGAATGATAAAAACATTTTTGCTTTGCCTGAGCACAGGATAGACACTCAGTTTAAAAAAAAAATTATTTTACTCTGAATTTTTGTTTTGATTTGTTATATTTAAATATCAGTAATTTTACTTATAAATAGGGTAAATTTCACCATGGTAATTGTTCTTTTACTTGAGTATATTATTTTATCCCTCTTTTCCCCTCAGCTTGTACATAGTCACGTGTATTTTCTCATTTTTTATAATTAAATAATGTTCAACTCATTTGTTTTGAACAGTAATTGTATTCTTCATGTGCACAATGGAGCTGCACAATATTAGGACATGGAATTTCAATATTAGTGTTGAATATTATGATAACTTGGTATGATATTATAATAAAAATAGATTTTCTGTTGTTTGCAACATCCTCCTTGTGCCAGCTGTGGTTGTTTAGATGAGTGTGTGTGTGTGTGTGGGGGGGTGTCATCTGATTTCAAAGTTTATATTTTTATATGCAATTTTGTGTTTGTGACTTTTTGGAATCCATTGTAATGCTGATATTGTGCATATTAATATTAAAGTGAATATTAATATATTACACATATACTAAATAAAATTTTAACTTAGCTGAACGATAAAAGCTTGAAGGTGACGAGCAGTTTAGGAGCTGCAAGAGCCGCTCTTGATGGTGAGCTGAGACAAATAATTTGAATCCCAAAATGTACATTTCAACATCTCTATTGGTTGGTCTCAGCAGTAAATGGTAATTGAACTGTATTTATATAGCGCCTTTCTATCTAATCAAGTTACTCAAAGTGCTTTACTGTGCCCTCATTTACCTCCACACACACATTCATACAGCTCTCCACTACATCTCTACAAAGCTAATCTGAATCTGTAGAGGCTAATCAGAGCTTTATCACATTCATACACTGATGGGACAAACATCGGAGGCAATGAGCGGTTCAGTGTCTTGCCCAGGGACACTTCAACGTGTGTGAAAGCTCATCAGAGACTCTACTTCCACAGGTGGCTGAGATGAGCTGGTCTGGGAAGCTCAGTCCTCACCTCCTTCTACAGGTGTGCAGTGGACAGCATCCAGTGCTCCAGCATCAAAGTCAAAAGTCAAAGTTTCTTTGTCATTCGCACCACATGTGACGCGTGGTGGAACGAAATTGTATACAAAGGGTCCCAGTTGCATCCAACAAAAGTATAAATTGCAAAGAAAAACAGTATAAGATTAAGATATAAACTAAGAAATATGCTAAACTAAGAATACGCTAAACTCTAGTAGTACAAAAACAATACGCCGAACAACAGCAGCACGAATATGAGTCTGTGTGAGTGGATGAGTACGAATGAACACAGCAACATGAAATAAATCAACATGTGGCATGGAGGCTGCACAGCTGCAGAAAGAAAAGCTTGGCAGAGAGTAGTGAAGGCTGCACAGAAGTCTGTTGGTCAGCCTCCCCACCATCACATTTACACCTCCAGATGCAGGAGGAGGACCACCTGAATCATGAAGGACCCCGCTCACCCAGCACACACACTTTTTGCCCCGCTCCCCTCAGGAAGGAGGTTGAGGAGCATTAAGTGTAGAACCACTAGACTGAGGAACAGCTTCTACCCTCAAGTTATTAGACTCATGAATCTCTAGCCAGAATAATCACTGTGAAAAAAAATGCCACTTTGATTGTTGATATGTGCTGCTGATCTCATGCTGCTGATTTATCTCATGCTGCTGTGTTCATTCGTACTCACCTGCTCACAGACTTGTGTTTGTGCTGCTGTTCGGCGTATTGTTTTTGTACTACTAGTGCTTCACATATTCTTAGCTTAGCATATTTCTTAGTTCATATCTTAATCTTAATACTGTTTTACTTTACAATTTATACTTTTGTTGGATGTAACTGGGACCCTTTGTACATAATTTTGTTCCACCACATGTACCAAATGTGGTGCAGATGACAATAAAGAACCTTAACTTGACTTGAAACATATGACTGCTGGTAGAATTGAACCCCCAACTCTCCCATTGGAGGATGACCATTCTAACCACTCATCCACAGTAAACAGTAAAGACTTTGGGGCAAAATCCAGAGACCAGATGGGAGTAACAAATTAAACTTCCTAGTCTTGTGTAGACAAAGTTGATTTGTTGTTTAGGTTACTCGGTGATTTAAGATGTGTATTTACCTGATTGGAGAGTATTTCCAGGTTCCGGAGAGTTGCAGCACTGAGGGTCATTCCCTCAGATTCACAGGACAGCTGCCGGAACAAGCTGCAGAAACCAAATCATGTTAAATTACTTCTATAAGGAAGAAAAAAAAAAACATTTCTTGTTGCTGAAAGTTCATAAAGTGCTGCACACAATTATTAATTTTTATTTTATGCATCCAATCAAAGTTTGTTTGTGTTTATGCAGGAACACAAAAGATGGCTACCATTTAGGTATTTAACAGTTAAATAATTGCAGTGTTTGTAGTACGCTTTTAAACCCTCTACACCCACATGTGTCCTTAACAGAGACACTGACCTCACTATAGCAGGACAACATCGCTCGACATGTAAAGGAGTGATTCAGAAGTTTAATGCATTTACCGGTCTTACATATTTGCTTGTAATTTTTTTTTTTTTAATGCAGATTCAAAAAAGTATAATAAACTGTGTTATATGGACAGTAAACCGGCGGGAATGCACCATAATAAGCTTGCGGTGAATGTCGGCAGGTGTTGGGAGTACTTTTGTTGTACCTTTCGTTTCTAAGAACTCTTTCTAAACTGAATTCTTGGAGGTACTGAATGAGGGGCCCCAGACAGCAGATCACCGGGCTCTCAAAGGATGCTACGCACGACAGAGAGTGTGAGTCTGGAGAACACAAACACACAGACATGTTGGATCTGTTTTATTGCTCAAACACAGCCGTGAGTCACGACTCCGTCTTCGTCAGACACATCCTGTGTCTCTGCTGGATGACTGCCGTAGTATTAACAATGCAGCACACTGATTAGTAAAAGACAGAAATAAAAAGAAGGGACAAACTGCGGTACGAAATGACACCTTTATCTTGGGTGTGGCCGTAGAATTTGACGACTGTGTCCATTGCGGAGGTGAACTCAAACCGAGCGCTGTCCCTCTTCTCAACTCTAACTCGGTCGTCAGCCTGAGCGCTGGAGGAAAACAACAATAAACTTTGTTTATTATCAGTACAAGGCAGTATCGATCCTAAATGTTGCTTGTGACTTTATATAAAAGAAAAACATCTGATAGTCTTGATTCCAGTGAGGAAAAAGTAGAAAGTGCTGCAGCACGTGTTTTCAACAATGCCATTGTCTGAGTACAGAGAAACCCGTTACTGTCATAAAAAACACATTTCCCCTGTGCACCATCGTGTCTCTCTGTGGCTATATTCACTCTCTCTCTCTCAGCATTGCTGCTCTCAAGGACTCTATTGCTTTGTCTGCAGGGTTGTTACCACAGCAACCAAGGCAAACACACGACTTTGAAGCACTTTCTTTCTTCCGTTTGCTAATACCCGTACAGAGAAACAGAATAATCATCATATTTCATCTCAGCTGCTGGTCAGACCAGGAGCAGAAATGGTAGAAAATATAAATCAATACGTGGCATATTGTGCAAGAAAAGAAACTTGGACAATTAATCACTGAACCAGTCGATTTAACCATATTAAGAAATTTACAAAAACTGCCACAAAAGCAGTTATTGATCCTGGGACAGTGTTGCAGTCTAGCATTTTTGCAAAAGCCTGACAGGACTAATCATTAATGGTTAAAGATGGGTTTATGTAGGATCAGTTTGTTATAAGATTTCCAGGAAACTAGTAAACCAGATGCTTATTCAGGTTTATGCAAATAAATAAAGAGGTGCATGAGTTTTGATCTAAAGAGGTAACCCTCCGGACTGCATAGCTAACTGGTTAAGACTGATATAACTGATGTGTGATAGATTTTATGTCACTTAAAGTTATAATATTTTGATAAAGATACTTTCAAACTAAAACTGAAACTAGAATATTCCCTTTAGCTCCGACTCCATATCAAAGCCAGACTGATTACTGTCATTTATGGAGTTTTTATTTGCTTGTTTATTGCCATAAAATTTGATATTTGATCATATGTGTTTAGAACATTATTAGTAACAAGCCCATCTTTTTTTTTTTTCTGTTATAAAACAACAGAACACCCAAGCTTTGGATCCAGGACAAAAGTATACTGCCACCATACTGTCAGTTTTTGTCATCTCATGTGCAGAAAAATCCACCACCAAACAATATAACAGAGCTCGTCACCTCATGTTGAAAGGCCTGAATAGAAGGAATGAACATTTATGCCTCATTAAAAAGAAAAAAGGTTTTGTTTTTGTCTTTTCATGTGGTTTTCTCCTTGAGGAGGACAGTATGAGGGCAGAAACTCATTTATTTAAATTATATTAAGATAAAATTATGGCTGTGCAGCACAAAGTCTTGGATTTCTCAGCCACATCCATGAACACTCTGGCCACAAAAAACTCAAGACTACAATAAAAATAGCATTCGGCATAGCAGTAATTATGCTAACTTTATTATTTTATCCAGATTCTAGTGTCTGGGCAAAGTAATAAACTAATATTAATAGCCATATATTGCAAACTGCAATGAGGTTATTAGAAAAATCCATCATTTTAAATAAACTACAATGTTTTGAACAATTTGAATACATTTCCATTAAAATGCTTTTAAAGCAAGATTGAAAAACAGACGGGTTATTTTGCCTTAAACTTGATTTGTCTTGTGCAAACAGCAAGTCCACACAAGAAGCATTTCTATAAATTTCTGGAAGTGAAACCAAAACCACTTCCTCGGCCACATGCCACTTCAGTCAACTGTATGTGTACATTTTAATGATAATGCAGAAGGGCAGCTGGATCACAATCGATCAAAAGCAGAAGAATGATCAGGTAAATCAGACGTTCTACACCAAAGAGCAGAGGTTAATGGTATTTAATAATCACTTATTGCTGCACGGGGAACTAAAATCAGTGCAAAATCTTTTAAAATGTGTCTGATTTATTTATTGGTCCATAAATGTGCTGGTCTGCATCTATTCCTAAACATGTCATCTTATTAGCATCTCTGTATTTGAAACTAACTTTTAAAAGTTTTAAAAGAGCATGAACATCAACACCAACCAGTGGGTTTTCCAGTCCCTGCTCCATTTCTGACTCCAAATGCTTCTAAAACTGCACCCAGGTACAACAGACCTCACAGGGACTCATTACCAGTCACTCCATGGACACAAACCCCGTTGCTAGGGGTCCTGTCTTGGCAGCCCACCCCTGAGACAGAAACATCGACACTGACGTAAGCAGCCACAAAAATCCCTGGTTTAAAATCTCTCCGCAGAGAATCTCCTGTAGTTCTCTTTAGAGATGTGGCATCACTTTAACGCAGGTCACTGTCATTAAGATGCCCTTCTGTATCATTTCTCTCATTCTGATTTATTATATTAGTGGAAAAAAGTGCATTTTAAGCAATAAAAACTGCATTACTGGTGATGTCCTGGGAGAATTTCCTCATGAATTAAACACCAAAGATCGAAGCTTATTCATTCAAATATAAGAAAAAAAAAGGAAAAGAAAAAAGGAAGAGTCGAGGAACTAAAAACAAAGTGCGCTAAGAGAAATGTCAGTCTAGAGTTAACGATATAAAGAGGGAGACATTTCCTCCATTTATCCAACCGTCAGCTTCTAATCGAATCTACTCCACTTCCTCCCTTTCTCTCGTTTCATTTTCGCAGCATGATGCCGACACGAGCAGCCTCCAGAGGATGCCGTCCCCACTGACACCAACACGAAGGGCGGCGCGACGGGAGGCAACAGGTTTGTGGAATAAAGCAGCTCAGAGCCACTGTTGCTGGCCCTGTGGTTAGTCAGCTAACAGCTTGTTTTGATCTACTGGTTTAGAAAAACTCCTGAATAAATCAAACTCAAGTCCGCAAAACACAGAACAAGCCGACATGCAAGTTGAAAAATGAGCAAATTATGAAGATGATTTAAACGGATCTGCTTATATAAATACAACTGATTGAAGTTGTTTCAAACCAAGCCAAGAGCCACAGGGTGGTTTTATTTATTTGCATCATTTTGATCGTTTTAAAAACTTCAAGGTTCCTTTCAGCTTTTATATAAGAAATGAGGCAAAGTTTTTCCTGTGTAAAAAATATTTGGCAAAGTTTATTCATAGCTGACATGAACCTGCAGCTGATGTTAGAGGAATAAATACTGCGCCTTCAGAAGTTCAGTACAAAATTATTTTTATTCATGAGGAGGAAATACTTGGACAGGGAAAGAAAACTGTACTAAGAATTTACCAAGGCTGTAACTTAAGCATCTTATTCAATCAATAAACAACTAAAACATGAGCCAGATATGACATTTTTCCTAATTATTTACTGCCATGGAAATAAATGCAATTGAGGATTTACTTTTCTTTTTCTGTTTATATTTATGGTGAAAATGAACATCAGTATTTGTTTTATGCAACAATTGTAAAGGGCTTATTGGCATGAAGAAATAAAGCCTGTTCTTCTGTTAGGAACTGTTTTTTGTTGCAGAAAATGATTTAAACACAGAAACTACAACACATTTCCGTCTTCTTATTTTATAAAGTTAAATTTTCACTCATAAACCATTATAAATAAAGGCTGAATGAATTAATTAATTAACTTTATGTATTTAGCATTTAAAACGAATGATAAATCATCTAATAATTGGATTTATTTGCTTGAGCCAGGTATAATAAAGCCAAAGGTTAAAAAAAATCAGTTCACTAACTTTTAAAATGGAAAATAAATCTTGGTCAGACTGGCTGAGCCCTGTGGTGAAGCCCCAGGTGCTGAAGGCCCCTTTCAGAACCACTCAGTGAGCTCACATTGATTTCCACTGCCAGGCTGAGCGCACACAGCTCCAGACACAACAACTATCTGCCTGCCTGCAGGATTTTAAACACAATCCCTTCAAATAAAATGGACTAAGCTCCCAAACACACACACACACACACACACACACAGTGTTTAGAAAAGATGAAGCTCAGCTCAGAACGTCTGAGAACCGTGAACATTTAAAATGAATACATGTTGCCCCCTGGTGCCCTGACAGCAGATTACCTGGCATTACAGATGCTGTGCAGAAGTTTCTGGGTTTGCTCTGAGAGGTCAGAGGGCACCAGAATCTCCACAGGGTTGATCTTTAGGACACGGCTCTCCAGCTCAGAGCGAGAAGGACCATCAGGGAAGCAGTCCAGAAACACGTCTCCAGTGCTGGGCTGAACCGCCTGCAAACAGAAGCATGTACATCAGAAATGACTAATATTAAATAAAAATGTATAATGTGGCAAAACAAACTTCTTTTTTAACAGTGGTTAATACTTAATTCATTACAACACATTCTTGAATTCAGTCAGTGACAGTGGTTATTTATTGCAAAAAACACATTTTTATGGAAACAATATACTAAAAGTATTTTTATAAGCACAATTAGATTTCAAAATTTTTGTATGAATATGGCAAAAACATGAAAATGAATCACATTTATGACAAACTCATTTCGAAAACTTGCTAACATAAAATCTAAACGTTGATAACAAAAATGTCCAACACAGAATTCACTTGACAAGAATAAATGTGATGAATTTTAACCGTGTTAAATTACACATAGGAGATTGTTCATTCATGATTTTTCATTATCACGTTTGTACTTTGTCTATTGGATTTACTGCTTTGAATAAAAAAATATATCTGTAGAATCACCACGGTGACAGTATCCTAAAAGAACGTGTCTGCATTAGAGATACCAGAAAGTCAGTGATTGATATCAGCTAATGTTATAAAGAAGAAAAATACATGACAAAACATCAAATTTAGTTAGGTTGTTGTCATTTTAAGGATTGCAGCTGAGAGAGGATCATGCAAGCTCGTTAAAGGATGGTGGCCCCCAATCTGTGGAACAGATTGCCTTTGAAAAATAGAGTAGATTTTTTTTTTAAAAAGGTTAAAAACCAGTTGTTTTTACTGAGTTTTAGTTCTGGTTGAGCAGAACATCTAGATTTTATATTGCTTTGTTAATAATTTGACTTTAATTGGTTTTACTAGATCATTTTATTTTATTTATTATAAATTTTTTGTTTATTTTCTGTTGATTATTTTGTATTTTAGTTCTCCTATTTTAACTTGCGTACAACATTTTGGTCAACGATAACCGTTTTTAAAATGTGCTATAGAAGTAAACTTTGATTCAGTGACTGATCTTTTGCACCCTCTGTTGGTCAGACTCACCACCAGCCCCACAGTGAGCTGCTTCTTCAGCTTGTCCCAGTTCTCACTGATGCACAGCAGGAAGCTTTCAGGAGGGTCCAGCAGGACATCAGCACAGCCTCCCTCTTCCACGTCCTTAAGTCGAACAACCGAGTTTACATCTGAAAAACCGTCAAGGATCCAGAATCAAACATGAATACTGTTTTAAGGATACCCATAAACACATGTCCTGTCTGTAAGGATACCTTCTCCCACCAGGGTGGATTTGGTGTACAAGGCACTGAGCTGACGAGTGAACAGAGTGTTCCTGTTCGTCCCTGAAGCCTTGATGGCAGACGTCTCGGTCTGCTTCACCACACCAACCTAAATATATCAGACAATAATGAAAACAAAAGGTAGGTCTCTGCTAACGGCAAGAGTAAACAGAAGCTATCTGATACCTTGTGCCCGTGAGTCACCAGCCGCCTGACGTGAACAAACAGGCGATGTGTGGGGATGCTGCACGTCATGAAGCTATGATCAAGGTTGCAGGTTATATTCAGCTCTTTTGCAGCAATCTATTCATGCACACAAAGATATTTACATTAGGAGAAACAAACTTCAAAATACTTTTCATCGCTTAAAATAAAAAATAAATTGCTGTTTCTTCATTTTAGACATATTTTAAAGCATACAGAAAAAAAAACATAAACTACACTTTGATCTCAAAATGAACATGTCCATTAGTTCAGAAGAAAACTCAAAGAAACACTGCAGGTGTTCCCAACCCTGGTCCTTGAGGAACGCCATCCTGCATGTTTTAGTTGTTTCTCTGCTCTGACACACCTGATTTTAATAAATGGGTGATTATCAGGCTTCTGCAGAACTTGATGAAGTAATTAAATCACTGAATCAGGTGTGTTGGAGCAGGGGAACAACTAAAATATGCAGGATGGTGTTCCTCAAGGACCAATGTTGGGCACCACTGCATTAGAGCCATATTATACCCGATGTACTGAAGATATGATTTAATCTGTTCCTTCGCACATCAGTACCACATATACTTTTTATTTCTCACCTCGGCATCCTCCCCAAAGAACCTGTACTTGTAGCCGCACTCCACTGCCAACAAAGCATCCTTATGCTGCTGTTTCAGCTGGATGACCTGCTGTTCCAGGGGGGTGTGTGCACTCTTTGAACGTCTGGATGGGGTGTCGGACTCTGACAGAAGACCTGGCTCTGCACCCTTTCCCCCTCCTCTTCCTCCTCCTCCTTTTTTTGCAAACTTTGACAAAGAGAATCCCTAAAAAATAAATAAATATATAACCAAAGAAATGATGTATGTATGTACTGTACGTATGTATGTATGTATGTATGTTGAGCTTCTGTTTGCCCCCAAGGGGCAATTGCAATTGGCAATCCCAAGGGGGATAACAACTATACAAACGTACATATGTATGTATGTATGTACTGTGCATACGTAAATATATATGTATGTACGTACTGTACATATATGTATGTATGTACTATATGCATGTATGTACGCTTTGTATGTATGTATGTACATTCGTATGCATTACGTACATAAATATGTGTGTATGGATGGATGAATGGAACTGCATTGTCTGTGAAAATCTGAGGGCTGAATTGCTTTAATGAAGAAGCAGAAACTGAGTTAAAGTTTTCATGCCACCTTAAAACAGTTTACATTACAAAGAAGTACTAAAATAACTTTACAAAACTCTTTGTAAATATTTAACAGTGGTTCACTTTGACTGTTCCTAAAGGCAACAGTTGAAAGTGTTCACTTCTATGGGTCGAAAACATGGCCACTTACTGAAGAAACACAACGGGTGTTTTACTTGTCGACTTAGACATGCCCTCAATGTCAGATGGCAAGAAAAGTTGACAAACGAGAGCTCCCATCAGTATCACAAGTTATTAAAATCAGATGACTTCATTTGCTGGTCATTGTTACTGAGCCAAGAAGAAATGTGTAAGTTGGAATTTACTCCGAGAACCAGCACATGGTCACAGTGGAAAAGGACAACCAGCAACGTCCTACATCAACGGGCTGACTGCTGATACAGGACTCTGTCTCTTAAATGAAATAAGCCATGGTGGATAGGAGCATATGGCAAGACATCTGGCGAGTGAAGACATTTGAATAACAGTTTGATTTTGGAACTTTATAGAGTCTGTGGATTATGGCTGTGCATGAGATGTTTATTATCACCAAACACTGAAAAGCAGGCAATAACATAGTTGCCTGTGTCTGAATACATGCACTTGAGAAAACTGAAATCATGCTGAGATCATGTTACATGTCATTTGGAGTCTGTTTTTGCCAAAGATGTAACTTTGCTTGATAAATATCTGGGTGCATGCTCAAATATAATCCAGGTAGAAAAATATAAAAGTTAAGTCAGGTCCTCTGGAGCTACTTGATATTGGAGGAATCCTCTGGATTGCTTGATAAGCAAATAAGTATCAAATTCTACATAAAGTTTTTGGTGTGGTTGTCAGTTTTACCTGAACTTTGTCTAAAAGAGCCAACAGTTACAGGCAGTTCTTATGATACAGTCTCATCCAGGAAGATTTAAACACAGCAGAACACGCCATCATCAGGGCTCACGTCATCTTTTTGAGCTAAACTCAATATTGTAAGGATGCAGTTTAAAGAAAAACTTCATTTGAAGTACCTGTTTTGAGGCAGCGAGCCCTGAATCCTCCTGATCTCTGAAGTCCTGCTCATCATCCTCATCTTCCTCCTCCAATGGTTGAGCTCTGTTTGTAATTCCACGCTGATGTGAAATCCCAAATGGAGATAAAACGTCCCCTGTCCGGTCACAGATTTTACTGCAGGTGGTTTCTTCCTGAATGTCCCTGTGTCTGAAGGTGGGCTCAGTCCCACAGGTGAAGCCTTTTAGCTTTTCCAACGTGGAGGAGCTCAGGACTTGTCCTTGTCCTCCGCTCGATGCTGGTGTTGTCTCTAAAGAAATGAGAGAGAGAAAAAAAGCTTTACTGTTTTTAAATAAACACAAGCAGGAACAAACAGTGCATATTCGTTAGAATACTGGATAAATGTGGATGTGATGAATTAAGTTCATCATTAGATGATCACCTTCAGGCTCCTGACCCTTCACCTGCTTGTCTTTCAGATACAGCTTCGCTCGTTTTGTTGGCATTTCAACATCTTCACAGGACAGTTTTAGCTGCAGAACAGAATATTTTACAAAAAAAATTTTGTATTAATCATAATTAGCATAAATAAAAGCATAATTGATAAGTGAGGAATGTATGAAGCGAAGTAAACCTCACCTTGCCTCTTCTGGACAGCAGGTGTTCAGCAGGATTTTGTTTAATCCCAGACTGAGCTCCGGTACCGAAGTACCTGCTAATAGAGGTCTGTGCAGGGCAGGACTTTTTCAAAGACTTTGGCATGATTTTATTTTGTCTTCACATTAAAAACATAATCAAATTCTGGACCAAAATATGTTCGCATGCAATTATAAGCCTAAACAAGCCGGCTTTTCAAAAGCGGCGCACATAAATACGTCACTGAGGCGCGTAAAATGATGTCAGCGAGTTGTAAAAAACAGTTTCCTGTTAAGTCTTTTAGAAATAAACCATTTATTATATTTTACATAGCATTTATTGGCAAGATGGAACATTTTTTAAGGGTACTAATTTTAATGAGATATAAAATATCTTTTACAGAAGAATTTAGTATTTTTAGGAAGCCCTGACGACTTCTTTCATCGCGTACAATCGTTGCGCTTTTGTTTTGAAATATCCAATTTGACTTCCAGATTCTGATTTTAGATAATTTCAGAATTTGAAACAAACCCAACGATGTTTCATTATTTTTTTTAATCATCTGAACCCCAAAGGTAAACACTGTGATATGCTATATTCTGTTCAGAGATTCATCTGTGTATACTCAATGATTATCTTCTTATCAACTTCATATTTACTGAAAAAAATAAATTTATTAAAAATTAT